GCTCAATATAATATACACACACATTTATTGGTTTTCATGTATATATATAGTTATATATATACATATATGTTTTGGTTTGATAGTTTTTAAGTTTTACTATGAAACAATTAAATATAATTAGAAAACATATTTTTGTTTCATACTTACATGCATATATATGATTTCATCAATATCAATTTTATTCAGTTCAATGAAATCATGTTTTAGTGCATTATATGTGTATTTTGATAAAATGCTATATTCATTGTTTATAGACTTCATAACAATAGTTTACATCTTTCTTCAAATCTATAAAATCATTTTGTATTGTTTCAAAATATGGTTTAGCCAAAATGTCAAAATTCATATGTTTACATTTTCATGTTTTGGACTATTTTGTAAAATGATGATATTTTTCATTTGGGATGTCCTTTTTAAAAACCAGTCTTTGTAGCATGTTTATTATCATGTCTACAATCATCCCCAAAGTTTTATATTTTTTGGAATTTATTTGATATTTTTAAACAGGGTTTTAAAATCAAAAAATTAACTTTCAAACCTGTTATCTCATATGTCAGTTTACGGTCGACCGCGCCTTTGTTTTTCCCTGCGGAGCCATCAGCAACTTTCGTGGTCGACCGTAAACTCAAAAATTCCCACGATCGACCGCCACGATCGACCGCCACGGTCGACCGCAAAAGTTTCTGGAAATTTTCCAAGTTTCGAAAGTGGCTCCCCCCCCCTCGTAAGATTTTCATGGTCGACCGCCGTTCACTCTAATGGCTATTTTTGTACAGAATCTGATTTCCGATTCTGTGGGCTTTTTGGTCTTTTGTTTTGGGTTTTTGGCTGAGGTTTTTAGAGACTATAAATACCCCATTGATCTCAGTTCTCATTACAAACTAAGAGAATGTTTTAAAGAAGTTTTAAAAGAGTTTATGTTTGTTTTAAGTTTGTTTAAAGGGTTTGTTTTGTGAAAACAATTTCACAAGAGCTTGAGGAAGATCATCTACATTGTTTGAGCATCCAACTCTTCTACCTCTCCCTCTTGATCTATAGAGAAGTTTTCCTAAACTCTATTTCTAGCTATTTATTGTTTTATTCATAAATTCTATTGAGTTTAGATTTGATTTTATATCTCGTGTTTACACACACCCACTTGAGCTTATTGTATTTACATACATAGTATATTAGGGTTGTGAGAGATTGTAACATTAAGTTGTGCTTAATTGAGTTCTCGCCTTGTATTAGAGAACAAATCATTTGTTGTTATTTGTTAGTGTTGTAAAGTTTTCGGTGAGCTAGAAAATCGAGTGTGAGGAGTGAACGTTGATCGGTGAGCGTTAAAAACCGACATTGTGAGTGAGGTGTGAACATTAATCGGTGAGCGTTGAAAACCGACATTGTGAGGTGTAAACGTTATTCGGGTGAGCGTAGAAAATCCGGTTGTGATAGTGGATTTCTCCCCGGGAGTGGGGAGCGGAGACGTAGGACGGAAGGTCCGAACTTCGTGATCATATTGTGTGTTTGCATTGTTTATTTGCACACTATCACTCTTGTTTTGTTTACCCTTGTGTTGTTTATATATCCTTGCATATACTACCTCTTTGCTAGGATATATCTTTTTATTCATATTGCTTATTCTTGCTTATAATACTTGTATATCTTTCTTGCAAGAATAATTCTTTAGTAAGTTTTAATTGGTATAAATCAGATTAGATTAGCATAAGACCCTAATCACCCCCCCCCCCCCCTTACCCTTGTGTTGTTTATATATCCTTGCATATACTACCTCTTTGCTAGGATATATCTTTTTATTCATATTGCTTATTCTTGCTTATAATACTTGTATATCTTTCTTGCAAGAATAATTCTTTAGTAAGTTTTAATTGGTATAAATCAGATTAGATTAGCATAAGACCCTAATCCCCCCCCCCCCCCTCTAGGTTCTAACAGTTTATACGATTATATTTTGATGAATGCTAATTTATGTTTTCCAGTTATTTTTGTAATGTAACTAACAAAAAAAAAGTAGACATGCAAGTTATTGTTGGGGAATCCGAAACAATCAATCGAACCCTTGCCCTTCCGGACCTTGTGTCGAAATAGGAAAGTAGGAAATTCACTACAAATAAAGATCAAACTTGTAAAAGAGTAAAGGAGACAAACATACCAGATTTAACGAGGTTAGGCAACGTGCCTACATCATCGGGAGCCATACCACACAATTCTTTTATTAATTAAAGAAGAAATACAAGCTCTCAAACTATGGTTTTATCTCTCTGAGATTCTCTCTCTTTTTCTGCTGTCAAAAGCTCTCTTTTTTGTGCTTTTTATTAAACCCTAAAACGTTTGGGTATATATACAGAGTCCAGAAAGAAACAGAATTCAAAACTGTTTAGGAAACAGACTGACTGCGTCGCGGTCGACTATAACAGTCGACCGCGCAGGTATCGCGGTCGACCGTACACTTGTCGCGATCGACCATATCAAACGACAGAGACTTAAATTGATTACAGGGTTAGCACGGTCAACCACCACGGTCGATCGCCTTCGGATCCAGCTTCTCCTGAACTCATGTGCACGTTCGCGGTCGACCGCTGCAGACTCACGATCGACCGTGGATCTGTCTAGCTATTTTTCTTACTCGTTTTGATTCCAGCTTGGCTTCAACTTTAGGTCTACACTTTAGACTAACAATCTCCCACTTAGAAACCAAAGTGCCTTCAGTGAGTTCACTCGAACTCTCCCCTTCTTCGCATGTATCTTCTCCTCCTCGAAAAAAATCCTTTTTTCAATCAACAATATCCCGGCGATCGCTCCGATCCTCGTAGTGTGGCTCCGTCTTCATCTTCTACTCGTGAAGGCCAACTGAAGTTGCGCACAACTCTAGTTTCTCAATGGGACTGCCTTCGTCAATATGTTCGCCGGATTTTGACTCCCCCAAATCTTCATTAAATATAACTTTTTTGATTTTTTATTATTGTTGTAATATTTTATGTAACTTATTAAAAAAATTTAATTATTGAGCTATAGGTAATTCACGTGGGATTAAGATAGGATATAATTATGATTATGGTAGATTAAGATTTAAATAAAATATTTAAAAAATTGAAGGGTAATATTGACCAAAGAAAGATTTTTCCAAACTCGTGCTTTTAAAGAAAGTATGATATGATATATGTTATCAATATAGTAACCACGAATTTATTCTTCCTTAGGTACAAGGTCCTCCATGTAACTACTATTCTACACACTCTATCAAATTGAAATATAGATAAACTTCTCCTAACCTCCAAAAAGTTAGGGTGTTTATCACTAAGTATCTTTGAAACTCTGACAACACCCCCAATAACTTTCGGGAGAAAATCCACAAAGTAACACCATCAGTTTATGTGTGATCAAATGATTGAAATACCCCAAGTATATTTTAGCAAGGAACATCAATAAGTTTTAACCCCTAAACAATTTTGGCGAAAAAACCCTAACAACAGTATTTGTAATTTTAAGATTTTTTATAGGTTAGTTTATAGTTTTGAATTTTTTTAGTAGGTTGTTTATTGTTGTAGATTTCAAAGGGAGTTATTTGTAAATTTTTTTCACAGGGTTGTTGTAATATTTGAATTTTTTAGGGGATGTTGGAGGTTTTTCTATTTTAAGGTTTGTTTGCAATTATCAGACTTTTTAGGGGTCATTGACAATTTCATCTTTCATGGGGGTTGTTCATAATTTTCCAGGGGATTATGTATAACTTTTTGTACATTTTCAATATTTTTGTTAATTTTTAGATCAGGTTTTTTAAAAATAATTTTCAGATTTTAAAGGAGTTAGTTTGTAGTTCTTAGATTTTTAGGGTTTATATGTAGTTTTTAGAAATTCCAGGAGGTTGTTTGTAATTTTTATACTTAAAGGGGTTGTTTGTGTTTTTAAATTTTAGGGGCGTTTGCAATTTGCAGATTTTTCTAGTAATTTTTTACAATTTAAGATTTTTTGGGGGTTATTTGTAATTTTTAGATCTCTTACGGGATTGTTTATAATTTGTTTCTTATTTTAAGAGCTCTTTATAATTTCAAATTTTTTTAGGCGGTGTTTGTAATTTTTAACTCTCTTACATGATTATTTATAATTTTCGTAATTTTCAGGAATCTCTATATAATTTCCAGATTTCAGGAGGATGTCTGTAATTTTTTCTTTTGAAGGGCATTTTTTGTATTTCTTAGATTTTTTCAAGCAGTTATTGTAATTTTTGTATTTTAATGGGTTGTCTATAATTTTCAGATTTTTGAAAAGATTGTTTGCATTTTCATATCTTTTTTAGGCAGCCAGTTGTAGTTTTCCTTATTTTAGGTGGATATTTGTAGTTTCAAACTTTCAAAGGAGTCATTTATAATTTTGAATTTATAGGATTAGTAGCAATTTTTAGATTTTTTAGGAGGTTATTTGTTATTTTTAATTTTTAAGAGACTGGAGATCAAATAGATAGGTAGAATTTAAATAGGTATGTAGCATAGAACCGAACTTCTCTGATTCTTCTTTTTGTTTATTGTATATACAAATAAGAGTTCAGCGGCATACAATATGGGCAAAATGGTAAGTATATTAATTGAATAAGATGCATGTATGAATGTTTATATAAAAATTTGCCCCTGGAAATTTGCTTTAACCTGCATTCGGAAGTTTTAAATTTAGACTTGGTCACATAAAGATGATAGAATTTGTGAGAAGTGATATTTTTCCAGGATTTAATTTGATGTATGACAATTTTTTTGTTTGGGATTTAATACATGACGCTTTTTGTGCTTATAAAAATAGTTCATCAATTTCCCTTCCAATATAAAAGAGGGATACCAGAAGAAATATGTCCTTTCTTTTGCAACTAAGAGCTCTGTATCTAACTTAATGACTATATTATTCATTAGGGAGTATTTGCTCTCATATTTTCCCTTGAGGACCAATGCTCACCCAAAAGATGCACCCATCATCAGCATCTAGCGCAGCGAGAAGAGCATCATAGGAAAAGCTAAAAAAATTCATCCATCGTTTCCCTTTCATTCAATTTTCGCCTTGACCTGGAAAAAGTTTTTTGCTTTGTACAAGAATGTTAAAACTGGAGCAATGTTACACAGGCACTGCTAGCTCTTCTTTTAAACCGTCCACTGAGTTTACAGCATGTCGTCATTGACAGCTTCTATCAACCTTCAATGACTCTCTTAATACGTTCCATGACCACCGGGATATCACTCTCGAGCAACGTAGTGAAACAGCATCGAAACCATCCAGGTTCCATACAGTGACACGACGATCCTGGTGTTACGTTTATCTTAGCCACAGTCAGTAACTTATCCCAGAGATCAAGCTCCCCTTTCTCACTCCATGGCCGAATAAACTTACTCATGTCTGCCCAACAGTAAAAACCTCCGCTGCTATTCATACAGTCAATACCTAACTGCTTCAGCCCATCGACAAATAATGTGTACATCTTCCGTAGCCTCTCCCTGTTAACCTCGATGTATTCTGTGATGAACTTTGTATCTGTCAGCATAGAAACAAGCAACTGCTGGGTAGGAACTGAAATAGAAGAGAACCTTGCAAACTTTGAAGCTGCCGCTAGAACATTTTCATTGTATGAATAGATAGCTCCCACTCTGAACCCTGGCATAGAAAGATCCTTTGACAAGCCATATATTATATGAACCCTACTCTTGTCGTAATCTTGTGTTTCAAGAACTTGTGCCACACTAACAAACTGCTCGTTTCCATACGTTGAGCCAGCATATATTTCATCAGAAATTATGTGAATGTTCTTCTCTGTTGCAAAATCTAGGAGATTGTACAGTTTCTCCTCATTTAGTATGCTTCCCACAGGATTTGAAGGGTTTGAGATGAGAATTGCCCGGACTTTTACTCCTCGTTTTTTCGCCTGTTTGTACGCTCTTTCAAGAGCAGCAGTACTCCAGCTGAAGTTGTCTGTGCTTCGGCATGGTACAGGTATTAGCTCAACACCTGTTCTCAACTTTATATCCCTGTCAAACCTGAATACCAAAATATTAAATACAGGTCCCGGTGGCAAGAATGAATGAATTTTGGTTTGGGAAATAAAGAAATTACCCGGGGTAATATGGCGAAGGAACAAGGAAGGCATTTCCTGGGTCTGCAAGACAAAAACCAAGTGTCTCAATTGCAGCACTTGCACCAGCTGTTAATATGATCTGTGACGGATTAAATGTTACGGTTCCTCCCATAATGTGCCCCATAAAATCAGCCATGCCCTGAAATTGAAAGATGAAACGGAATATTCTTACATTAAATTCTTGTGCAAACATGTTGAGGAGCACTGCTCCGCCTAAGCAATCAGAGAATAGGTACATATAAGAAACAGCATGAAATTTTATGGAACAATCTCATTGATGGTCAATGTCATCATCTACTCAAGGATGCCAGCTTCTTTCACATCTTCAAGAAACTTACTTCCTTTTGATCCAATAAGCTACCTCTGACCTTTGAAGTGCAGAGACACATCATTGCTAAACCAATTAACTCAACTAAGTTATCCTTTGTAAGTGAATTACACTACCATCAACGCACCTGTAAATTGATTATACCTTCGACTTTAACTCATTGTCTATACATCTTCACCTATGAAATATTATAATCCATCTAATAGAAAGTGAGTTTTGTAGAATTCATAAATGTCTGCTTAACTTTCAAATTTAGATGCTTTAAATTGAACATGTAAGATACTTGGCTCACTACATAGTTGCTGTCCAAAGGTAACAGGATGTCAGGTGCCAAAAGATAACTTTTTCTCCTATGGCATTCTAAAACTCCCCAATTTCCGAAACTCCCTTCATGATTTGATGTTGATCGTGATCGTCATGGCCTACGAACGGATGTATGAAAAATTAATGACTTAGACACCTTTCATCAATTGATCTGAAATTCACAATTGCTGTCACTAAAAAGACTTCCACTTTGCAACTACCCAAAATATGGTTGAAAGATGTTCAAGTCGCATGGTTTTTTAACCTATGTATGTTTAACTGTTATAGGGCATGAAGATCATTTTACACAATGCAGTTCATGTCATTTTACACGATGCAGATCATACACTTAAGTGGGGAGACGAAGTTTTGGTCACGTCATAGAAGTAAATTCCTTATACGGCACCCCTGTTCCTGTTTCCTAGCTACTTATAGTTAAGAGATTTGATAGTTTATTTCTTCAGGCAGTTAGATAGGAACGTTCTCAGCCATCTAGGCCATCTAGGACATGTTCAATGAGTTTTGAGTTTTTAATGCTCAAGACAGTTACAACTTACAATCCAGCAGGAGATTGGATAGTTCTAGACCATCTAGCATGTGCTGCTAAAACTAAAATTGCCAACCGTACATCACTTCAATCAGAGAAGTAAGATCTCCATCTTCTCATTAAAGAATAGCATATCCTGCACTCCTCGTGTGTGTGTGAATGTGTGTAGCGACTGCGGCTGGCTGCTTCTGAACTTCACTTTCCGTTCGTCAAATAGTACCAACTAGATTTCTCAGTAAGCGGGATAATGAAAAACAAATATGCTCATCACAAAAACTCCAAACTGTTAGCTGGCATGAAACATTCCCTTCTAGTATCTAGTAACAGTTACCAAACTAGTGAAAAAGTTCAAGACTAAGATCAAAACACCAAGAATACAATCTAGAGCTGATGAAATCATTTCTCAGTTTCATGTAGCGTGTCATATGCCAAGGCTCGGTAACCTGCAGATCTACTCATCCTGTGTTTGTGCTGATCCAGGTGAGACCAGAGGTACATACCACAATCCTTGCAAGACACTAGACAATACAGATCGGATTCACCCATGAGCAACAAGATGATCATAAACATAACTGAATTTCCTACTTTGTAACGACATTGCCAGATTCTGTTTGAACAAAATATATAACTCACATAATAGACCAATTATGTTCCACCAGAAAGCAATCTGTATGGAATCCTGTAAATGGAAATCAAGAAATCTAGCAAACACGAGGTGCCATCAAACCAGTGAATAAATTTTACCAAGATTCTATTAAACATCTTGCTTTGGAAGAAGCACTATGACGCATACCACAAAGAAATGGGATATTGTTGTTTCTGGGTTAACATTTCAACAACTTGTGTAGACCTGAAGGACTTATAGAATGATTCGAAATTCTAAACTTTAAGTTCTCCTTGATTGTACACCCTGTGGATATTAGAACATCAGCTTTTTGCAACAAGAAATGCAAGACATATGAGATGAGAAATTTAAAAATGCGTCAAGGAGATTTATCTTTAGGTACGCATCAGTGTTTCAGTTAGATATGTCTTGTCACTACATTACACTATTCGACAGGACGCCATTTAAGGATGATTATGGGCCACACCAGCTCAAGGGCCATCCCATCCGATCTAGACCCATAAGAAAATTGGCCTGGCCTTGAACCTCTCATCTTGAAGTTTAGGGCCTTTTAGTTTTGGGGCAAGGCCTAGGCCTATCTTAGGGCCTATCTTAGGGCCTACCTTTTATATTAGGCCCTACCTGGCCCTAGGCCAGTCATTCGGAGTTCCTTCAAGGACCCATTCCTAAGGTCCAAGAGGTATCATTTTCCTATTACAGAAGAAATTGTGGCTTACCTGATATAAAATTTGAAACAAAATTTGAAGTATTGGCCATACATTGATGGGTTGGATCTTAATTTTTAAGCATCATTGATCCAATTCAGTCGCAAACAGTCTATAATATAGATATTAGCTAATAGCAACTGATATTAACCGATACTGACAAAATAAAGGAGTCTGAGGTTTGAAATGCCAAAAGTTGGATTCAATAATGTTTTATCGACTGAAAAACCAATGAATAGAAAGTTTGTGTTTTAATTTACTTATTCTATGTATCGATACTTCAATATGAAATTGCAGAATGCATATGCAACATTCTGTACCGAGATAAGTAAAGGTAAACCAGGACAAAATGATACTGAGATTTCAAAATTTTATTTGAACCTTTGACGTGTTTTTTTTTAATAGTTCTCCCATCATCATACCTATAGTTGAACGTTTAACCTATTATCATATATTTTCCTTTAGAAGGTTGGTTTAAAACCTTGACTTTAGAAAATATAGATTTACAACCAACTGGAGTTGTTTGACACTTTTTTTGAAATTAGCACATAACGACGATCGGCAGCAAATTGATCATAATGTTTAAGAATCTAAACATATTTTATTGAACATTTAAGTACTTTTTGAAAACTGAATTAATACTTTCGCTTCTTTGAGTACTTACCATGTTTGTACAAAATGTATTACCACCATATACCAAAGCCCATTTTTCTTTGTGTTTGAACAAATCATTCAATCAGGAGTCATCTTCAAGGTCATGCTTCTCTAATAAATTCTTCCGAGTTGCAAGAAAGTCCTCCTTTTCAACATGGTCATATATGCAACAACAAAATTCAGAAGCAAATGTCGATGAACTAGCAAATGAATTATTGAGGCTTATCATAATGTATAATAGAGCTAGCCGAAATCCTTAGGACCAATTGAGAAACCCGCAATGGCCGGATTGGAGCTAAGCATGTTAATGCTCTGGGGCAAGACCGAGGAATCCAATATCTCAATATATTTTTCCAAGTGCAACGGCAGCATACCCAAGTACCCAGGCTAGATTCGACCAATTATCATTAAATGCAGTAATTTCATTATGATATAATTTTTTTTAATGTATATGAATCTTTAAGATAAATGATTCAAAGATATAGCTTTGCACTATAAGCAAAATAGTACTTTTCCCTTCAAATAAGTATCAGTCCTTAACTACAATCATATTTAATTGAAACCAAACGTTCTCCACTAATAAGCAAAGAATCATACTAAAGAGACTATATAAAATAATCAAATTGCTTGGAGGATACTCTTTTGCAGTAGGGTATATTCATGTCAAGCATAAGAATGAATACAAACTCAAGGCTGGAGTATAACCACCGCCATAAAAATGTTAATATCAGCCTAGACACTATAAGAAACTCAACATTAGCCTGCAAAGGCATTTCCAAATAGCTTTGATGAAATAATCTTTCCAGCTGCTACCATCTACTCATAAAACCACAGACACCCTAGAATAGTTTCAGTATATGGTCTTTAAAAAACTCAAAAGCAGGATTCTTTTAGAATTTAACTAATACCAATTATCTTCGCCAAATTGCTTTGGTGAAACAATAAAGGAGAATATGTGCCACAATGATACTTTTCACATCAATGCCTAACAGAACAAGAAAAGAAACAATGTCTCAAGCTATCAAGGTAGTTGTACTCAGGAAACATTAATGTCAGCAAACAAGTAGACGAAAATTGGCAATAAGTGATGTTCGCCACGTATAGTCGGAATACCAGTAAGGGAGGCTCTCAGGCTTGAATCAAAGCTTCGTAAAGAATAGAAGAGTACCTAAAAAGTACTGGAGGATGATTACTGGTAAAATGATCGGGAAAACAAGATGCAAGCTTTAGCCCATGACCAACAAACCTTCAATCACTCCCTACACAATCTACACTGACTGTACAGTAAAAGACTTCAAAAACTCGCCAGACAACCCTCCTATAGTGTTTTCTCCAACAATAAGAATGAGTTTGGTTACAAATAGTTAGAAGTTAGAACAAACGCATTTACAACATGCAGTTAAACCTCCTGTTGTTAAAACACTTTTTACGCCGCAGCAGCTACCCTATGTTTCATCTACTTTGCTTTTGCACAATAATCTTTTGATGTAGTAACTGCGTCCAACCAAACAATTATGTTGCCATTTAGACATACCTTGAACAATATAGAACTCCAATTACCCTAATCCAAACACACCCCAACAAATTCACATAGATTTCATAAGAACTTTAAAAAAATGATCTTTGCTAGCAAAATTGCATAGAAATCCTGCTGCCATATGGAACTAATCCAATTTCGACACAAGGCAGCTAATATCTTAAGCCATCCAAAAATTCTTATCACCGCATCAAAACAGACAAAAAAAACTAATCTATTCATCAAAAACAAAACAACTAATATATTCATTAAACAGCTAATTTATATACTTACAATCTTCAAATCCATCAGCCCATCAAAAGGCTGATACATCGTCAGTCTTGCAATACTCAAACCCCCTTTCCTCTCATCCATCAACGACTTCTCCAAATTCCTCCGCAGCCAATCCCCAATCAGATCCAGCGACAACTGCTCTAAAACCAAAAAACAAACCCTAAAAATCTCGATCCAAATCAAATCTTTGCACCAAAAGGAAACAGCTGCTGCTACCACCCCATTACCTTGGACTCCGCTAGTCCGAGCTGAATCACCCCGCTAGGGTTCGACACCGAATCGTACGGATCCTCAGCGCACCTCTTCATCCCAGCATAGTAAGAAGAATCTTTACCCCTTGCAACAGCAGCGGCACGTGTCGACACGTGTGCCGGCGCCAGAGAACCACATGGCAAGAGGTGGGGCGGGACTAAGGTCGGAAGATGGCGGCGGCGTCCGCGTCGGAGAGATCGCCGGAGTTGGAGGATGAGCGGCGAGTTTTGAAGTAGAGTTGGAAGAAGTAGAAGAGGGCGCAGGGGATCAAGGTGCCGAGGAAGAGGCCGCCTCGGCCTTGGACGACGCCTTGGAGAGGGACGATGATGCGCATCGCCGTGCCGGAATCGGATCGCGCCTGCGGTTGGGAGCTCGTGTCAGCTGTGCCGGCCGATCTGTTACGAGCTGGGTTTGCTCATGCTTCCTCTCTTCCTTTCTCTCTTTCTCCGCTTCTTTTCGGAGTATTTAGTCTTCTTTTTTCCCCTTTTTTCTTTTTACCCCCACCAACCTTCTCTCTTTGGGTTTGGTGAGGGCCCTCGCGCTATTGGTATTTTTTTTTCGGTTTTTTCGCTAATTAGTCCCTAGTTCTTTCATATTTTCAAATTCGGCCCTCAAATCTGAAATTGCATTCAGATCCCTCGGATCTTAGATTATGTTGATGTTATACAATCACACATATAAATTGTTAGGAACTGGGTTGATTAGGGGCCGCTAACTTCTCCGAATATCTGGTTTGGAGTTGAGTTGTTCCTCCCTGCACGTGTAGCAATCCGTAAGAGGGCGGAGTTTGATTCCCCCATTGTTCCTCCGACGATCAAGTTAGCAGGGTACTTGTGGAGTGATCACTGAATGGGCGCAGTTACTTTCGGCATTAATGAGATGGGATAGGCGGTGTGGTCCGATGTGCCAAAAATAGTGCTGGAGATGGAGAAATGATGGCACGTGTCAAGCATTTACTGTGATGCCGACGCTGTGTCAGCGGGGGGCTCGAGGTCGCAGTCGCCTTTTGTCTTGTATTGAGGGGTATCGAAAGGTACCGACTTTCGAGTCGGCTCTCGTGAGACGGTCCAATAACTAGTTGAGTAGGCTTGCGGCGAGTCGTCATTGACGAGAGGACTAACAAGTATCGCCTTTCGAGTCAACCCAGCGAGATGTTGACTAGGCGAGTCAGGTAGATCGGGATCATGGTTGTCCCAAATGTCGAGTCGACTGAATTAGGCGTAATGGGTGATATTTGTTTGTTGTTGACAAGAGATCATAATTTGGTGACTGAAAACACCACGTATTTTTTTGAAATTGGACTCAAATCATTGAAATTGCTATGAAATATCCTAATACTTAGTTTATTTTAATATTGTCCTTCGTATGAAGCGTGAAATAGCAATTAATGAGAAATTAATTCATCAGATCATTGAAATCGTTGTTAGATTCTCGTGCTCTTACAAGGAGTTTCCAGTTAATCCCTCCTTTAGCTACTCTACACTTGATCGGAGGGATTAATTTTAGAGGGGAATGAATAGCAATTTTAATGACTTGAGACTGTTTTTAGAATAATTTCTAAATTACATGCACATTTCTGCCCGTTTATTTATGATGATCCTTTTTATAGAACTAAATCGTGGTGTCTTTTCCTCAACATACTTAGATAAATTTATGAAACGAAAAAACTTTTTGGCTCGCGGACCAACCGCGAGCCAAATAGCGGGGTTCTTTATGAAAACACACATTCTGCAACAAAAATATGCAAAACCCAAGAGCTTTTGCAACAATCAACTGAATTTGAGCTTCAACGTGCATTTTTCCTGCAGTAGTAGCAATAAGCCCTGTGTCAAAACAGTAAATTTGAAGTTAAATGCCCACAACAATCACCGTATACGATTATTTTCTGCGTGCAATATTTCCTGAATTTGCAATTACAGACAGGTTGTTAAATGCAAAGTTGCACAAAAAAAAAGTCGGGCAAAGGGTATTTTAGTAAGACTAAGTTCCAGCCTGGCCGAGGGGACGTTGGAGTGTTCGCTCGGGATCCGAGATCCCATGGAATCTTTCTGGGTCCAGCGAATCCAACGAGTCGAGGCTCTCCCCATGTTTCGACCCTGCGCCCATCCAAAATACTTTTTTTGTCCTTCTCCGTTTCCCGCCACAAACGCTTCATCCCTTCCGGCCGATCAGTCGTGGTGGGCCCCGCCTCGACCATGTTCGCGCCTGGGAGTACGTCTCTGTCTCCTGAAGCCTCACGACACAGTCTTGGACCCGTTGTTGTTGTTTCTTCCTTCTTTGGATATTAGAAAAGGGTAAATTGCTCTTAAATACAGAAGGTTTATCCGGTATTATATCAAAATATTTAAGGGAAAATGTGTCTAGACCCCAAAAGTGGGAACTTCGTGTGACTAGCCTCCTTGTACTTTGCCCCATGTGTATAAACCCCAAATGTGCATAGTATTTGCGACGAGGCCCCGAAGTGTCTTTTTTCAGAAAAAGCTCAGCGGAAGTTACGATCTTGCCCCTTTGATGGGACTGAGCTCGGTTAATGTGCCACATTCCTTTTCAAGTACTCTCCCTCTCTTTCTCTCTCTTCCACCTAGGAGTCTCAAAAACTCTTCATCTTTCTAATTTCTGTACGGATTTCAACAGTTCTAGGATTTTCGCTGGGAAGATGTCGTCCAGGGAAGGATCCAGTAACGACTGTGAGGTCGTTCATCGAGCCGAGTCGAAGGGCAAAGACGGTTCATCTGCGGTTGACAGCACGGAGGAAGCTACGCAAACCCTAATCGAAATGCAAAAGCAGACAATACAATGGCGAGACCAGAAAAGGAGAACGACAATAGCTGGTCGTACTAACAAACCCCCCTCAAAAAAACAGTAAGTGTTATGTTATTCAGTATTTAGGAACTCGACCTAATTTTACCTAATTTCAGTTCATCTTAAACAATGCTAGGTTTTACCACAGTATTGTTAGTTCTAGTCTGAGTCCACACGAGTTCTAGTTTGAGTCCAATGTGAGTTCTAGTTTGAGTCCAATGTTAGTTCTATAACACTACGTGTTAGCTCTATTTTGTTCCCGTTAGTGTTAGGTCTAATATGAGTTCATAGGTCCTATTGAACTTACAAATTCGAAATCTTTTTGCAGGGAAAAAGTTACTCTAACAGGTGCAGCAGAATCACTAAGGTTAACCGCCAATATCAGGACTTATTGGGAATTCATGAAGCATATTAACCCGAAGATTCGTCAGTTGCATAGGGATGCATACTGCGGTTCTATATTTCAGCATTATATTTATTTGGGGCTCCTCCTCCTGATCGGCCCACACTTGAGCTGCTGTTGAGCTTTTTTGACAGAGATAATAACATATTTTTTTATACCTGGTTCAAAAAGTGGGTGTGTGAAAAATGATAAATTTGATTTGCGATGGGTCCATAATCATACTTATTTCCCAATTTATGGGGAAGTCATAAGTATCAATCGGGACTCAAGAAGCAGAATATGGGTGGAATACTTCGCTAATCTTTTCATTTCTGAAGAGGGTAAGAAGTTAAAAAAAGCAAAAACCACCCAACGTAAACACCTTGAAGGGTAACTGGAACGGCTAGTTGAATCTACAGAAAAGCGGGATATCCAAGATTTTGTTCTGCTACAAATCCTGTACCAATGCTCTATGATATGGAGCCCCAAAGCCGGGGAAGGTATCCCTAGACCCTTACTCAGTTACCTGGATAGCATTGAGAGGGTCAATTTTGTTGCATGGGCCAAGTTCTTTTATGATGAAATTATCAGGGGCATTAGAGTTGCTTTGGAGGGAAAGAAAAAGTAAGGGGTCACATATGTCCCAGGTTGCATGACACTATTGTGTGTAAGTTTCATATTTTACTTATCTTGGTTCATTCTAGTTCGTACTTATGCCTTGTTAGTTCTAACTTATTCTATGTTAGTTCTGATATATACCATGTTAGTTCTAATATACACCATGTTAGTTCTGTTGCAGATTTTATTAGTTCTAATTTGTGTCGTGTGAGTTCTAATCTGCACCTTGTTAGTTTTAAGATATACCATGTTAGTTCTATCTGCACCCATGTTAGTTCTATCATAGGTCATGTTAGTTCTACCTGGGCTCATGGTGGTTCTATCATAGTTTATATTTGTTCTAATTTATGTCGTTAGTCCTAATTTATACCATGTCAGTTCTAGCTGCAGCCATATTTTACTCTCTTTGGTCTAGTCTAGTATCAATTGTTAATGCTAAATATTTTTGCTACAGCTTTGGTACTATAAGATGACCGGCATAAAGAAATATGCCATCGTAGACACCTCCAGACCTCCAATGACAAATTGGGCACCAGAGGAGGTGAAAGTCTCATATATGAGGATGAGGACAATTACGGTAAATGCTAAGTCAGCGTCAATAACTTTTGTCCATAGGCCTATTGTGGAGGTCGCTTCTCCGGGTCATGTTCATGCACTTCCCGCTGTATAGAGGGGTGAAGTTCCCGCTGTACAGAGGGGTGAAGTTCTTCATCAAAAGCGTCAGGCAAAGAGGTGTTGGCCTTCTTGTTTTGATGATGTTTAACAAATAATTTACCACTAATGTTGTTTGTCTAGTATTTGTGTTTTCTTATTTATTATAGACAAACAACGTTGTTGGAGGATGGATGGAATAGAGCTTCAACGATCATATCCAAAGGAGGTTGGCGGAATGTCGGTGAAGCCTTGCTATTCAAAGTTCAAGATCCAAGTTCAAGCTTCATCCGCGAGATTACCAAGTCAAGCTTATTGAAGATCAATATCATTGCTTGGGTAATTTAGTTTAGGAATTTATATTATGTGTGTTAGTACTTTAAGCTCAATCATATACACACATACACGTTTTGGTTTTTGTATATATATAGATATATATATACATATGCATTTTGGTTTGATAGTTTTCAAGTTTTACTATGAAACAATTGAATATAATTAGAAAACATATTTTTGTTTCATACTCATATGCATATATATGATTTTATCAATATCAATTTTATTTAGTTCCATGAAATCATGTTTTAGTGTATTATATGTGTATTTTGATAAAATACTATATTTATTATTTATAGACTTCATAAAAATAGTTTACATCTTCTATTAAGTCTATAAAATCATTTTGTATTGTTTCAAAACATGGTTTAGCTAAAATGTCAAAACTCATGTGTTTATATTTTTGTGTTTTGGACCTCCTTGCAAAATGAGGATATTTTACATTTGAGAAGTCTTTTCTGAAAACCAGTCATTGTAGCATGTTTATTATCATGTCTACAATCATTCCCCAAAGTTTTACATTTTTTGGAATTTATTTGATATTTTTAAACAGGATTTTAAAATCAGAAAAACAGTTTTCAAAAATAGATTTTCATGTATCAGATTTCGTCCATCGGTCGACCGCA